CAAAATAAATCCAGATGCTAACAGAGGTTATTCATCTTCATTTTGTCGAATGAGAAACTCAGAGACATGGTATTGTTTGTCCAAAATATAAACGATACGATGGCCTTGAGTTGTTATCTGGTAAAATGAAGATCATTGGTTGTCACTTAAGTGTTGAAACGAGTTGCGAATCAGTGATTCTGAAGCTCATATGGTAAGGGATATTAGGTAAGGTAAACAAATTTGTCTCATTTAGGAGAAGTCAACTAAGCAATACTGCAACTACGTCAAACGAAAATTATAATGAGGTCATTTGGAGCCACCATGATTCTCTAGGTTTGCAACTATTAGCGATAATTTTTTTGGGATGTAATTACCTGATGTGGAGTCAAATAATCTGAGTAATTGAAGAATCTAAAATCGGAGTTCAAATATCTTCTCAGAGTTGCAAAAATTGAATTAGGACATAATCTGATCCAGTTCTAGATCAAGGAATCGAACAAATTGTTGTTTTTGAGCAACTGAATCACATACCGAGATTGTTCCAGGGTGTTGACGTTATAGCAATGTTTTGTATCAGTATACTAACTGGTAAAATTGATCAGAATACTAACATCCTTGATACTTCTATACATTGATTAAAGCTATGTTCAACTAAATCGAACCAAAACCAGTACATTGATTAAGCTATGTTTACCTAAATCGAACCAAAACCAGTACAGATCTTGCTGTCAGTGATGTAGAAAATGTCTGATTCCAATCCTTTATAGGTCTCGTAATTTCGGAGAAGAAGTTGAAGAAGCAGGTACTAGACTTGGGGAGATGATTTTCAGAATCTACTCTGATGATTTCAAATCTCTGGAGTTCCTCAAAGCCCCAAATGGTAAATGCATCCTTGAAGTCCAGAAGAAAAGAAGATTGTGCTGCCTCTCTGAATCCATGCCATCTACAATCTAAAGAATAAATATTAGATACACAACCAATCAAAAGAATAAGCAAATAAGCTTTTTAAACCAAGAACAACTTACCTCCCAAAACCATTGGATGATAGTGTCAGTTTCTCTAAAATTCTGATAGTCCGTGTATGATTTCCAGTCTTGTATACAAATTGCATCTTCTTCTTCACCACGCAGCAAACCATCAACGTATTTAAGCTCCATAGTGTTAAAGAAGATTTCGTGGTTCACCGAGAGCATATCTTCAAATCCTTTAGCAAACTGACACACTTGATCTTTTACAAGTGTTACGTACAGGTGCTGTATCCTCAGATTTATGAAAAGTTCTTTGTTCTCAAAGGTGACAGGAATTTCTGTCCCCTTCTCGCATAGAGGAGCCTCCTGCTTGTCAACCTCAACAGCAAAGCTCAGACACATGTCTTCTTGGGAAAATTCATCCTCACTCATTTCTAATAGCCTCCTACAGCTCTTGTTCTCAGTCTCATCTGTCTCTCTCACATCTTCTAAACAAACAGGTTTTCCTCTTAGGTTTAGAAAGAATATGGGGTCCAAAAGAAAACCAACTTGAACACCATGTTTTATAGCCAAAGCCATAACTCAACCTGTGAAGCGGTAGAATTCTAGATCACTATCATCAACTTTCAAAGCTGGCTTTGGCTGGAATCTTCTGCTGTCATTAGGAGACTCAACAAACAGATTTTGTTTTTTTTTTTTTTTTTTCTGAAATATCATTTGGACGCCCTCATCCATTGCCTTTTCATTGGTAAAGTGAACAGATAACTCACCATGAAGCGCAGAAGGAGATGCCTTAGCGATTTCTTCAAACGACATATGCCAGATCCTATTCGGCATAGAAAAAATGTAATTATTGAATCTTTTAAATTCAATTTCGTTAAGGATCGCTGACATGGTAGTACAACGACTATTTGTAAAAATAGATTTCACTGTAAAGTGCAGCTATTTACTCAGAAAGATTTGATCAAGAAAATGGAGCGATCAATAGAGTCGATCCCACTTATTTGAATGCCATACGCAAATTTATATAAGATGTTTTTCATTTATCTTATCTAAAACCACAAATAATTGTAAAATTATAGAATTTAAATCTTTACCAAATGATTCAATTTTATAAGAGTCCATTCTATAAACACTGTGTAAAAAAAATAAAACAGTAAAAATAAAATTAATTTGTACAAATATTGCATATAATCAAATTTTTTAACCATATATGTCTAAATTAATAATAAAGCCATCATATTCAAAAATTAATCAAAAATTTAATCACAAATAGATCATTACACTACATAAAAATACAAAATTCTAAACTCGTAAAGATTATGGAATCTCAAAAGATTCAAAGATGAATGAAAATTAGTTTATAGTTCATCTTTTACTATTTAAAATTAGTTAGGAGTGGTAGAAAAAGTTGTGGAATTATGTTTTTAGCATGAAATTATAGAGTTGCATTTTGGAAAAAAAGTTGCAAATTACATTTTTAACAGAAAATTGCATTTTTGCCTTCTTAATTACATGAGAATTTAATCTGATCGATGAAAGAAAACATATGTGATGATTATTGAACTATAAATGTCGTATCTTTTTGTTTATAATTTTTTTTGTCAGAAAATCATGAAATTTCGTTTTAATTAAAAATGGTGGAATAACGTTTTCGGCATTACAAAATAATAGAATCATGATATCAGTATATTTTGATGGAAAATCACCTATCTAAGTTTGGTCGAACACAATATTCAAAAATATACATACATGATACAATTCCAAAAATTTAATCACTAATGAAATGAACATGCCTAGTTGAAATACTTGTTTTCCAAAATTCTGTAAAACTTCATAATTCCAATTTAAAATCAATAAAATTGTTTGGCATAAAAAAAAAATTTAAATACTGTACTACTAACAAATGTTTTACTTTTTCTTGAAGAGAGCATGCTGTCTCTATTTTTAAGCAAACGTCAAGCAGTGCGGCTACCAAATATCGAAACGCTACAAAGTTTCTAGTGAGCGACAATACAGGTTGATGCTTCGCTGGATTTGCTGGAAATCAACCGTCCCCGTCTTTATAGAAGAAAAAGATTCTTTTCATTTCTCGTCTCTTCGTCTTCATCGGGAATTAGCAAATTCGATTCGCCTGAACCTGTGGAGTTCGATTTCTTCCACTTCGATGTCTTACGCTTATCTCTTTAAGTATATCATCATCGGCGATACTGGTAACTCCTTCTGCGTCTCCATCTCTTTTCTCTTTTCAATCCATCAGGAAATGAGTTGAATCAGATCATTATGACCTATATACGTTTCGTTGCTAAAAGGGAAGCTTATATGAATTTAGTTCATTAGGAATTGAGATGAACAAGGGGATAATTGTGATGTTGATTGTGTATTGATTCTGATATTCAGGAGTAGGGAAATCATGCCTTCTGCTTCAGTTCACCGACAAGAGGTTTCAGCCGGTGCATGACCTCACCATTGGTGTTGAATTTGGGGCTAGAATGATCACCATCGACAACAAACCCATCAAACTCCAGATCTGGGATACGGTCTCTTTCTTCTTACTCTTTGATTTTTGTTTTTTCAAGCCCATTTTCTATCTCGTTTTCTTGAAACACCTGGGTTGATTCTTGCCTCCATCATCTTTTGTGCTCTTATTATCTGGACTCACAGAAATCCTGAAAGTCGTATCCTTGTCTGGGCTAATTTTTCTCTGTGATATGGCATGGCAGGCTGGTCAAGAATCTTTTAGGTCTATTACAAGGTCCTACTATAGAGGTGCTGCAGGGGCATTACTTGTCTATGATATCACAAGGTAAAGCACTCGCTTTTTGTTTCTGTTAGCAAGAACTGACTTGATCATGAAAAACAATCTTGATTTTGTCTAGTAGAAACTAGAAGTTGAGCACGGTCTTGACGACTTGACCTAATCACTTAATCTGCCTTTGTTGACATAATTCTTCTTGTCTCTGAACCTTGACACATAGAAGTTCCAAACCAGAACTAGATTTCATTTGTATTTGTGAAATATGTAACCGTCTTAGTGCAGACACTAACAATATTGTTCTCCGTTTGCAGGAGGGAGACATTTAACCATCTAGCCAGCTGGCTGGAGGATGCAAGGCAGCATGCAAACGCTAATATGACGATAATGCTTATTGGTAATAAGTGTGATCTTGCCCACAGAAGAGCAGTGAGCACAGAGGAAGGAGAGCAGTTTGCAAGGGAGCACGGTCTTATATTCATGGAGGCCTCTGCCAAAACTGCTCAAAATGTCGAGGAGGTAAAACTCCCATGCATTCCAATGTGATTGTTTAGGCTTAGACTTAGCTTCCTTAGGCGTTTTAACTCGCATGCTTTCTCTAGTCCAGTTCATATATGAAAAAGATTAATCGGTTATAGATTAAGCATGGAATCCCAGAATGAGATTTAGGCGGCGTGAGACAGCGTAACTTTAAGAGGAGAGAGAGAGAGAGAGTGAGGAACAAGTAGATTGCGTTTATGTATTCATTTAAATGTGAAAGGAGAAGAGCAAGTGCCCATTCCACAAAACCCTTCCTACTTGTTTCTATAGTTCACACACCATACAAATACTATAGCATAATTTGATGTGTTTTGTGTTTTTGAATTTTTTTATGCTAGGCATTCATTAAGACCGCGGCAACAATATACAAAAAGATTCAAGATGGTGTGTTTGATGTGTCAAACGAGTCATATGGAATAAAAGTTGGATATGGAGGAATTCCAGGGCCATCAGGTGGAAGAGACGGATCCACATCGCAAGGAGGAGGATGCTGCGGCTGAGATGGATATGGTGTCTATATATCATCATGTAAAAATCATCACACATGATATCTACAAAAATCTCTCTGCTTCTTTCTATAGTTGTAAATCGTTTTGAAGTTTTTGATTTGGTGACTCTGTTGTGTATTTCAAAATGGATTGACAATACGTATGTGCCTATTCATTTATCTATAATTAAAGATGTTTTGCGTATCTAAGGGTATGGAGGTTGGAACGTAGTCCATTTGCATGACAATCGAAACAGTACGAAGGCTATGATGGAGACAATTGGTAACTGGCTGCATGTGGTTACAATTTGCCAAGTCCAAGGCGAAAGTGTACATTACAAGATACAGAGAAGATGTACAACAAATATAGTATTTTCTTGATTTTTTTTTTTGTCAAGGTTGCGAACGATGTCTGCCATGGTTTACTCGTTTTATGATGCAAAGCCGTAGTCTTTTGCTAAAGGCCTCCAACCTTTCCAGTTTCTCGCGTCTAGGCTTCTTTGCATCTGTTTCACCTCCTTTCTCAATTTTCTTCTCCTTCCTCTCTTCTTCTTCTTCTTCTCTAGTAGAGTTTCTTGGCTTTTGTTCTGCGTTTTCAACAGCAGCTTTCTCGACCTGGAAGGAATGGATCATAAAATAAACCCCACATCGAAACATCGAATTGTTTCATATAACAGATTCAAAGAAAATCAACCTGATCACCCTCGCCAGCGATCAAGCTCTCATCTTCTTCAGTGCCTCCTAGTGAAGAGCATCTGCCCCAACTTTCTCTGTTAGAGCTTGTAAATGAACAGCCTTCTTCAAACTGATCAGCGAACTTCCTCTGCCAAATCACAGTCAAAATGAGACAAAGGCTCATAAGCCAACACTAGAGGGTCTTTAACATAAAAAGAGCTACTACTTAACCATTTGTTATGTGTTTTCCACATGCTCCAGTTACCTCGAAGTTTTCAGGGTCATCCATGTTGTGATCATTATCTTCTACAAGCACCTCATCCTGTTTCATTAATGAATGGTTATGAGAAGGAATAATCCAAGCAACTGAAATAAGGTTCATCTAAGAAAGAAAACAGTTATACCATATCCGTAATGGGCATGGTGGCTTCTGAAAGGAGCTCATTCGTTGGCTTTGTGGTCAGAGGGGCAGGAGGTGCAGAAGACGAACTTCCAACATCGATACATGCAGAACGAAGACCAGAGATGATCTCATATAGAAAACTCTGCCAGTACAAGGTAAACCAAGCAGTCAGATTCTTGTGCATCATCTTTCACCATGTCAACTGTAATAGAGACTAACTTAATTTTCTATTGTGTGAGATGATCACCACGAGTTCTTATATATATTGAGCTACCTCGTAAGTGACTCGAGTAAAATATCTAGGCAAGATCTTTTGTTCTATACTATCTAAGTGCAGACATATAACAGACAGCAACAGGACTCGATATTTGGATTACTTGACCATTGGATTGCCAATTACCTCTTCCAAACCAGCAGAGCTATCGATATCTCCCAAATTGTAATAACTTTCAAGTTTAGATGAGCAAGCTGAGGAAATTTGTGGCGGGCGTAGAACATTGTAGAAGAATATTAACACCGAATCATAATAAAATTGCGGTCGTGAAGAGTTGTGATCACCATCAAACTTGATGATATTTTTGTCTCCCTGCAGAGTTTACCATAATATGATGGCAACATTATGATGAAGAATCATTGATATATTAGAACAAAAAACAAAATAGCAATGATGAACTACCGCATAGCACTTGAGAATGAGGTCAGAGTGATGAGGTTGGATGAATTTGTCTCCACTTGCATGCCCAAATAAAGCTGGAATAAAAGTCTTGGGTGAAACCTGGGGCCAAAAATCGAAAACTTCACTAAAATGGTGACATACTAGATTACTTGGGAGCAAATGTCTGTAAAGATACAGGGGAGAGGTGACTATATAACACCTTAAGACAATTGAGATCCATGATATTAAACTTCGCTTTTTTCTGAATTACTCGCCGCATGTACTGCACAGCCATTTTAACCTGATTGAAAAATGAGATAGAGTTTCATTGCAAGAATAATAAAAGGTCTACAATATACTGTGCATTTGAAAGTATGGCCATCCAGCTATGAAACTTCTCATTGATGATTTTTCCATTTTTAATAGCACTTTAAGTTCAATAGATATGTATAGCAATAGTTATTAGTTACTATACGAACAGAAAAACAAAAGACTTGATCCTTGTACAACCAAAGTCAGATTTGGAGAAGAAGAGCGCATACTGTGAATTTTGGAAGTCGGATCTTGTAGACATCTACTAGTTCCATCATCAGATCAAATAAGTTTGAGAATCCACTGTCTAAGACCATTCCAGCGATTGACGGATCTTCTGCTCCATAAAGAAGGCTGCACATTTTATCCCCCACTTCATTAAATGATGGAGAGCAACTCGAGGGAATGTGGAGAGTTGACACACATTTAAATTCATAGACCTTAAGAAAGCTGGTGAATGCATAGTCAACACAACTACTAGTACAACTTTAAAGTGTGACTGAGAACTAGTTCAAGAAGTAACCTGGTGACTGCGCCCATAGATCGTCCCCAAAGTCCAATACGGGACACCTGATTGCTGTTTCTCAGGTAAGAAACCACAGTCTTGAGATCATCTTTCTAGCTTAAGTTTAACAAGAAAAAGTTAGGTAATATTTGAAGAGAAGAGGAGCTTGAAAGTTTGATACAAGGAAACACACCTCATGCCAGCCAAGGCTTACATAATCACCATCAGATAAGCCCGAACCCGAGAAGTCAAGTGTGAAAACAGTAATGTTAGATGGGAGAAGAACCATAGCTGCCTCATTTGCATCTGCCCTACATCCACTGGTCAGATTCCAAAACAAACGAATCAAGTCCTTAATTTATTCAACTAGTCATAAACAGGATCTTAGTTCCCAGAAAGGGAGTGCAAAGTATGTACCTATTACCATGGCAGTATATAACACAGGGGAGAGGATTATCCTCCAAAGAAGATGAGGGAATGTAGTGACTGCAACGCAAGGTGTGACCCCTTGAATTTGTAAGCTACTTTAGAGAAAAACAATGAGACCTGTAAGGTTTAGCTTATAAAAGGAACTACTACTCGAAGAAGACAGTAAGTAAAAAGGAGTCATCTCAATCATTTTGATGCCCATACTTGCCTCCAAGTCTTGTCTTTTACACTTTGTGCTACCGATGCTAAAATCCTTCTCCCACAAATATTGATCAGGATCATACTCAGCCCTGTCAAAAACCCAACAACTATCAGCTGAATGCAAAAAGTTTGAGACTTTGAGAGAAGCAAAAGAGGTTGGAGAAGTACCTAGGAGGCCGAATTACAAAGTTAATGAACTGATCAATCATCTTGATTCCTCCAAGTAACAATGAACTCATGAGCTAGTAAGTACTCTGCATCCTACACCATGTGTTCTACAGACATTGCTTCGTCTTGAGCAAAATTTCTAACTAATCACAAGTGACAACATCTTTCGAGAGCCCCATTTCCCATATAATCTCTGAAATGCGCAGATCCCCAAAGACTAAAAGACAAGAAGAAAAGAGGAAAAGAGAGAAGGAAATTTCCAGCTTTTGCTGAAAAGCAAGTAAGGCCACCCAAAATCTACCTAACAAAAGGGGATAAATAAAAAGAAAGAAGAAAAGCTTTTTTATAAAGGGAATGACATATGCGAGATCTTGAAATGAGTCAACTAGAAAACTGAGATTGAGAAGACGAAGAAAGAAAAAACAATTCAAAGCCGCGACTTTTGAGAACGAAAAATAAAAAAGGTAGAATCAGATTTCAGATCTCGAGATGTGAGAGAGAGATACTCGAGAAAACAAGAAAACAAAATTTAAAGGTTTTTAACAAGCTTCGAACACAGGTCCTTCTGGGGGCTCGACATTTTGGTTCATTGTGAGTTTGTTGCTTTGCTCCTTTCGTCTCCAGCTCATAGTGGGTGATAAGTGGACGTGTAAAGCTTAGAATTATTTAAGGAAAAGTCGTCGTGAGTTTTGCTTATTAAAGCTCAGTAACTGATGGTGACTGGACCTGTCTTAAAAATATCTGGAATTTTACTTCTTTTGGTGAAATATTTATCAATCATGCAATAACCATCTAAACAAATGATGGTTAATATCTACTTATTTGAGTCTTAAAATGATCCAACAATAACATGTTCTTTTTTTCCCCTTCTAAGAACAACATGTTCATATCCGATTCATCTATGTAGTTGTAAGAGAATTTTATTTTTCAAATATAAGTGTAAAAAGAAATATGTTGAAAACCTTGGTGTTATATACACACAATGTAATTGAGATTACCCAACCAACCTACCTAACCAAGCAGATCTGGAAACTTTTTTTTTTGGACAATATGTGGAAACCTATTCAAACTCGATGATCATAAAACATTATAGAGAAGACTTATATGAAGAAGTGAAGATTATGAGATTAACACATGAGAAGGTGCCATAAGATATCAAAATGGTGCTTACTATAAAGGAATGAGAACATTTGATTAACATTCAACCTCACAAGAGAATTGTTACATCAACTCAATGTATTAGCCAGGAGCATCATGCACTTATAAGAGACGTTTACGTCTATGCTACACAAACATTAGGCATTGTCTTTATGTTTTCCGGTTTGGTTTGGATTTTTTTCTCCATAAATTTGTATCTTATTTTGGTTTCCCTTAATTAAAATTTTTTATTTTGGTTTGGTTCGGATTTAGATAAAATTGAAAGTAGTCTAGATAAAACTGAAAGTAGTCTAACAAAAATTAAAATAACTAATTCATCTTGAATTGTTAGATAATTTAAATATTCACTAGATTCTATCTCCGTGCATCCGCACAGAAATATTTTTTTATTGTTTAATGAATTTTGTAATATAATTTGTGTTATTGAGTTTAGATATAATTATTTTTATAAATATATTTTTTAATAAGCGAACATATTGATTTTTGTGTTTATATATATTTTTATAGTATTAAAATTAATTATGATTATAAATATATAATTTTAACCCGTCCGCTAATATTAATTCAAAATGAACTATTATAAAAACATAATTCTAATTTTTCCGTTCATATTAGCGTATAATATAAATATTTGTTAAAAGTTTGAGATGTATTAACAATATTATTTAGCATTATAGTTTTCTAAAATTTAATCAACGAAGGGAGTGTACAACTGGTTTTTCAAACCACATTATGGTGTATGCAATAATTTTTAATTTTTTATGTTTTTATTTTGTATGAAAAATATATTTTTGATGTACATGTATAATTCAAAATTAGTGATTTTAGTTACCAAAATATTCTTAACCCGGTTTTATAGATATATTTTTAGTTCTATGAATTTTAATAAATATATTTTTAATATTTAAATTATACGTTTGAATTTTACCTATTATTTTATTATTAATTTGTAAATAAATCATAATCGTAAATATATTATATTAGCAACATAAATATCATATCATTTACATTATTATAAATATTTTATATTTTAAATATGACCATTATTTTTCATATGTGAATTATTTTTTTTTCAAAAATTTTACATATTTTTGATAAAAATGTTTAATAGTATAGAAATTATTTAAATTAGAATCTTTAAATCAAATCTAAATTAATATCTGATTTATTATTTTTAATCAAATCAAATCAAATCTAAATTACCTATATTTAAGGTATTCTAAAAATATTTAAATTAATAACTAATTTTCGAAATTAAATATAAATAATTATTAAAATTATTTTTAAACAGTTAAAAAAAGTTAGGAGTGTTTGGAAGCAAGTACTAAATGTGCTTCTGTTTTAATATAATAGACTAGATTTTAATCCCGTGCGTCCGCACGAAAATATTTTTTTTTTCTAATATAAGTTGCATTTATCTGTTTTGTTAGATATAATTTGTTTTTGTTATTTATTTTTTTAAATCAAAAAGTTGTTATCATATTTTAATTTTAAACAGTAAAATTTGTATATTAGTAGAATAAGAGTATGCATTAATTAAGTATACATTGATCTAATGTTAATTATAAACTTTGTTATTATGTGAATTTAGATTTACACATAAAAAATCTATATATCTATGAATTTGCTAATCCATCCGTTTAGTTATCTTAAATCATTTTTAATATCTTACATGTTTTGACAAACTAATCCGTATAAGACTATAATTATAATTGTATAACCCTATAAATATTTACTAATATAGAATATTTGGACCAATTGATAATGAAAAAATATAATAAGATATTTATTTACTATTTGTGCTATTAAAAAAATGTATATATATATATATATATATAAATTGGCTAACGTGTTAGTTTAATTGTCTCAAATCATCTTAATATCTTACATGTTTTAATAAATTAACTCATGCACCTTAAATATATTTATATATATATATATAACTCTAATCAGCTCGATCATATTATTGTATAACATAAATATTTATTAATTTCAAATATTTGATATTTTAGACCGATTGATTATGATAAAATATGATAAAATATTTATTAACTATGTATTTTTATAAAAATATTATTTAAATTTAAAATTTTAAATTAAATCTCTCCTGTATTTAAGAAATTTTAAAGTATTAAAATTATTATCTAAATTTTCGTAATAAAATTTAATTATAATTTTTTTTGAATTTTTTGAATTTAAGTTAAATTGAATGAAAATTTTTGTAACTAAATTTAATTAAATTTCTAATAATTTGAAATTTAAATTAAATATGACCTAGATTTTAGGAAATCTAAAAATATCTAAATTAATACATAATTTTTGGAAATTAAATATAAAAATAAAATAAAATATTATAAAAAAATTTTTAAGAGTGTTTGGATGCAAGTACAAATGTGCTTCTGTTTTAATAAAATAGATATTTTATTTTTATTTTTTAAAAATATTTTTAATTCGTATATAATTAAAAATAAAATATTATTATTTTAAGAAATCCAGCCTATTAGATCCATTTTGTTACTGCGTGCTCAATTGTAAGTTGTTTTTGAATTTCGGTTAACATTCGAGTTAAATTTTGGTTAATGTCGGCTCGATTTGGCTTTTTATGCCATCATTAACTATTTACTAATTTCGTTTCAGTTTTTGCGTTTTGCCAACAATTGATAAACCAGCACCGCCAAGAAGAGCAGAAGATATTTCTATATTCCTTTTACTGTGACGTAACTCTCCCCAAAGTCATGACTCATTCACAATTCCAACTGCGCCTAGCGTGTTCTTGAGGAAACGATCCTCATGTTTCTCTCCTTTGATTCCGCTTATACTCCGATCGAAATCGAACACTCAGAGGACTTTTTTTTCTTCCACGCATTTCCTCTTTAATCACATGTCGTCTCAGGTTACTTGATTTCCCGGTTGATTTTTCCTCGTTTGCTCTGAGAATTTTGCTTTGCAGAATCCGAAGATGTTGGAAGATCAGGTAGCCTACTTGTTGCAGCGGTACTTGGGGAACTACGTGAGGGGCTTGAATAAGGAAGCCCTTAAGATCAGTGTCTGGCAAGGTCAGATGGTTTCTTAATCTTCTCGTCGAATTTGCGTAATGTCAACTCTGCTGTTCAGTAGCGAATTTGAGTTGTAATCGAATTTGGCAACTAGTTAGATTTTTGTGTGGTTGTTTTGCTGAGTTCTAGTTGGATTAACGTAGTTTCGATATTTGAAGAGCTTCACTCGGATATTGGTTCTATGGAATTGGGTTCTGTTCGAGTAGCTATTAAAGAGTCAATAGTCACACTTCTTAATTTTTGCAGACGAGTGTGAGTAGAATTCAGGGTTTGTGTATTTTCCAAGATCAGTTGATTTGAGCTCTTCAATTTCTCGTGACATAAATGTTTAAAATGATTGAGAATATCAAGTTTGCTTTCAAGCTTTATAGCTTCGTTCATGATTTATTTTGGTTTATGCTGATTGTTCTCTTCATCATTACTTAGCTGGTTCTCCCAGTTGCAACTAAGAACAGATGGGCTGAATAAAAAGAAGGATTTTAGCGTATCCCTGTAAATGAATTTGCCTTTAGTTTTTTATTTGTTATTAATATACGTGGTTTTACTTGATTTCGCAGGAGATGTAGAGCTGAAAAATATGCAGCTAAAACCAGAAGCGCTTAATGCTTTGAAATTACCTGTGAAGGTTAAAGCTGGATTTCTTGGATCAGTGAAACTCAAGGTTTGTTGTGTGTTTTTTTCTGTCCATCGTATCTAAGCTTAAGAATGTATACTCGAGTGCGTTATTTATCTTTTCGTTTTTCTACCCCATTCCTTCACAAATAGATTTCACTTCTTGTCATAGTCTCTATCAGTGACGCGATATCATACATTATACTATTTTGTTGGGGCTGATATGAACTTTTTTCTGGGCATGGATCTCATCAATGAATTTGCCTTCCTAGTGTACAGATTTCTACTCTCAGGTAGAACAATTTATTGATATGTTTCATAATCATCATTTTAGGTACCGTGGAGCAAGCTTGGCCAGGAACCTGTAGTGGTTTATCTTGACCGAATTTTTGTATTAGCTGAACCCGCAACTGATGTTGAAGGATGTAGTGAGGATTCTATCCAGGAGAAAAAAAGAAAGCTAATAGTGGTGAGATAGGTCGCTCATGTTATGATCATTTTCCATGATCTGATTGGTGTTGTTGAATCACTTTTCTGTTTGCAATATACAGGAAATGGAAACGAAACTGGTAGAAAGAGCTCGTCGACTGCATACGGAAATGGTGTGGCTAGTGCTACTCATTCGATGTATATAATGTGAGGAGAAAGATTT